TGTAGGATACGAAGGTAAGCGCAGGCCCTGTGTAAGGGCTCTGACCAGCACATGAACGCAGTGCCCAGACAACAATTTACCGTGACGATGGCCAAGATCATTTGCAGCCCCGGGATCTGGACAGTAAATCAAGGTTGAATTGCGAAAGGACGGTCGAGTGTCAGTTGTACCACCCCCACACCATGGGCTGCACCTAGCCATTGTTCAAGTTGGGAAGATGAAAAGGGCCCCTTATGGACTCACCTTATTTGTCCGAAATGCATACGCAACAACAACAACGACGACGTACACAAAGCACACAAACACAACACAACGACGTACACACACACAACAACAACAACAACAACAACAACAACAACAACAACAACAACAACAACAACAACAACAACAACAACAACAACAACAACAACGACGTACACAAAAGCACACAAAACACACACAACGACGTACACACACACAACAACAACACAAAGCATCAAAAACACACACACACACACACACGCGCGCGCGCGCGCGCGCACCTCCTTTGCCTCCCAGAGTGCGCAAGCAGAGCTGAAAGTGGCCGTGTACTGGAAGGGTGTCGTCCATGGAATAGCACCGTCGACCATCACTCACATACATGCGATCCGCAGGAAACCGGCTCACGAGCGACTGTGTCGTGGAGCATGCCGCCAGCACATCACGGACCTTCTGTTGCTGCTGCTGCTGCTGCTGCTGCTGCTGTGTCGCTTCACCATCACAAAGGTGCCTTCCTCCTCTTGATCCAACAGCCATCACCGCGTCGTCCTGTCCATCATCAGCACTCAGCACCACCACCTCTCCATCCACAGCCAACGTTCGCAGCATGATGGCCTCTCTCTTTGCTTCGCGGTTCTTGTGGTTCTTGGGCTCGTCGAAAATCATTTGAAATCTTCAATCAATCATCAATAACCAACGCAAACAGCCTGACGCCAACCCACCCACGACGATACGCAGACCACCGCCCCCCTTCTCTCGGTTGTTACCGTCGTGGTGTTGTTGACGGGGTGAAGAAAGGGATCCGTTTGCCACCTCGAGGCACAGACCAGTCGTCACCATGTCGTCGGTACCGCTGTGGAAGCAGGCGCTGCTGGAGAATCGCCGCAAGAAACAGGAGCAGCAACAGCAGCAGAAGGAGATCGAGTCTGGCAGTGCAAGCATGGCTGCGCTTGCTGCGAAGTACGCCCACCTGCCCGCGTGGAAGCGCGATCTCCTCATGAAAAAGGAGGCGCAGGCCGCAGCCCGCGATCAGCAGAAGCAGAAGAGCTCCTCAAAACAGCAGGAGAAGCGCGGAATTCCGGCGGCGTGGAAGTTTGCCATGCAGCAGAGCGGCAGCAAGGCTCCCCCGCCCTTTGCCGCAGATGGCACATCCACACCAGCAGCGCCTTCAAAGGCAACGCTTGCCTCTCCTGCCAGTCATGCCAATCAATCGTCTTCTTCTCCCCAATCAGGTCTGTTTGTCTTTGTGTCCATAAACGCACAATCGTGCACAAACGCGCACTCGTGAACACCAACACTCCCCATCGCTCTTGTGTTTGTGTTTGTGTGTGTGTTGGTGTGTGTGTTGGTGTTTGTTTGCTTTGTATGTGTTTTGGTGTGTTGGTGTATGTTTTGGTGTGTTGGTGTATGTTTGCGTGTGTTGGTGTTTGTGTGTGTTCGTACGTGTTTGTATGAGTTCGTGGATTCGAGTGCGTTCAGGTTGTCTCCGTATTGTGGCCTGCACACAGCCCAGCGAGCACGCTGGTTTGTGTTCATTGTCGAGTCATGTCCACCACCTGTCTGATTTTGATTTTCATGGTTGGGGTGTTGCCATCAGGTGCCAAGGGCCCCGGGTCTCCAGCCGCAGCGGACGTGCCCATCACCTCAAGTGTCCGCGAGCGGTTGGCGTTGTTTCGGCAGCGCAGCCAGGAGAGTGTGGACGGTGCACCGTCATCATCCTCGCCGGCACCCGCACAAAGCCGAACCAATGGCCTGGCGACCAAGGCTGCAAGCCCGCGAACTGGTGTGTGTGTGTGTGTGTGTGTGTGTGTGTGTGTGTGTGTGTGTGTGTGTGTGTGTGTGTGTGTGTGTGTGTGTGTGTGTGTGTGAAACCGGAAATTCTTGCCCACTAACAGCCAGATGCGCGCAGACACACACACAAACAATGTGTGCTGGGGGTGGGCGCGGGCAGACCTAGAAGCAGAGAGACCGAAGAGCAAGTCAGATGTGCGATGCTGGGCGCAGAAGGAGGCGCTGGATGAGCGAGGCGACTCTACACCCCCCCCCCAATCATAACAAATGGAACAAGAGCAGATTAAAAATATCAGCCACTATTCTTAGTCGAGTGAATGGATCCAATGTCTACATGATGTAGCGTCGAACGATAATGAGGAT